TTATTCATAAAGGAAGAGCACGTATTATCTTGACTAATTATCTTGAATAGGAGACACGCACTTCCTAATAAACCCACTTTGCAGAAACACTTCGTCCGGGACAGTTTAAATAACCTTATTGAAAATCTGTTAAACTCAAAAAAAGTTTTAAACTCAAAATTCTTCAATTCATAAATTCCCGCCAATTCTTGAAATTTTGGCGGGAAGACAGAGCAATATATAAAGGCATCGTCTGCCCCCAGTCCATCCTGTTGTTATTTGTTCTGCAGGGCGTCTGTCTGTGCTATCGACGATGGAACTGTCAACGGCTGTTGAACTACCTTCGCCCCCGCGAATGGGCGTCTCAACTCCGAAGCCTTTAAAGAAGCAATCTCCTAAAGCGCGTCCCAAGCAACACGGCACGAAAGCAGCGAAGACTCATCCTAGCTATTCTCAAATGGTTAAAGAGGCCATCACTGCTTTGAAAGATCGAAAAGGGTCAAGTCGTGTCGCAATCCTGAAATACATCTCAGGTCGTTATCAATTGGGTAACAACGGTAAACGTGTACATTCTCAACTTCGACTGGCAATCAAAAGGGGTATTGCATCGGGAAAGTTTACGCTTGCAAAAGGTGCTGGTGTGAATGGTTCTTTTAGACTTGGTGCCAAAGGTGGAAGTAAGACGAAGGAGAAATCACGTAAGCAGAAAAAAACATTAAGAAAAGAGAAGAAAGCCAAGGTCGGATCTGCTTCTCCAAAGAAGCCACAAATGAAGAAGGCCAGAACCACAACCAATTCGCCGAAGCAGAAACTGAAAGCAAAAAAGCCGAGGCCGAAGGTTTCGAAGCCGAAAAAAGCAACGTCGTAGATGTGCTTCATCTGTGATGTTGGCCCCATAACCCAACGGCCCTCTTAAGGGCCACAAATTTCATGAGTCATGCTATCCTTCTGATCATTGATGAGTTTCCTCCAGACAGAGAAGGTTGATTTTTGAAAATAAACCTCAGCACTTCATGTAAGTTGTGAAAGTCGCCATTATAGCGGCATAGTTCTATTACCAGACCGGTTACATTGAGTGAATTATGGCACGATTCATTGCTACGACGCTTTATTCGCCGAGCTCAATTAGGTAACTGTTATTTGAGAGGAAAGTATTTGATTGGTTGGCAGGCAGTGAATGTTTAGTTGTAAATGTCATAATAGCTAAGGCCCGATTTTTCTTGTATTTCAGTCACTGGTTTGCAATGCACTTAATATCTATATTGTTTGGTAAGTCTGGTCCTAATACCCATTACTGTTAGTATGTACATATATTTATAATGCAGATGTACGGTGTTGCAGGTGATAAGCGTCAAACATATCACCGGGAGTACCAAATATAGATGTGTTAGCAATATGCGCACTCGAGTTTTATGATACAATAGCAGATGTACGAATGTTGTAAATGGACAAGTATCAAAGATAAGTAAACAATAACCACTCATGAGAATTCTCAAAATTGCAAAAAAATGTATCCATTAAGTTTGGTTATGTGGTCTTATTTCAGTTCAATTTCTGACGGTGACTCTCATCAGCTTAAAAGTAAATCAGTTGTTGAAATAAACAATTTGCATTCGTTCTACATTTTGCAAAGTACAAACAATATAATGAATTTTTTCGAGGTAAACGTGGCGGTGATTCATATGACCAACATTATTTCTGACGTTTAGAGCTGGTTCCCTTCGATGTGGACTGTTCGCTTTTGCGTTTCTGACCAGACTAAAAAAAAAGCACTGGATTAGAAAACTGCAATTTTCAGTCTGAAAATTGAGAATCAGTAGCCAGGTATGTAATGTCACCTTATCGGTAAAAATTACAAACGTTTAGCACTCTGGAGTCGTAGTAATGAGCGGTATAATATCCAAGCATCAGTCGCACTTGCTACAGAAGGAATACACCTAGTACTTAGACTGAACTGTCAACTGAGTCAACAAATATCAAGAGGTTACCTTAGTAACTGCTGCAGTTTTGGGATCGTTAGTATTAGCTGTAGGAGCATTTGTTGATTTTTGACTGTGTTTTCGTTTTACTTCTACCTCACCCATTTCTTTTTCAATTAATGAAATCAGTGTGTTACAGCGACGTTGAAGCTCCTAAAAAATGATCCAAAGTTCAAAGAAAATGTCAATCAAATTCACAAAGAAGCGCGCACTGATCCAGAACAAAAAACCTTCAGAAGATAGAAAACTCATGAAAAATCTAACCGTTGATGTGCGAGATTTGATGAACCAATCAAACCGAAACTGTGGTGCAGAGCGAACTGCTTGCCGCAGCTCCTCATAAACATTATCTTTGTCAAAGCCAAGCTTATGCAATTGACAGACCATAAACCTTAAAGATAAAGCTTTGGGTTTTGGTAATCTGCTTGACAAACTACATCAATTTGCTAAAAATAACAATGCACAGTCATTACTTACCGATCTTCTTCTTCCGTATAGTTTTTGCCTTTATTTGTTCCATACTGAATTCGCAGCTGATGAAATGGGGCCTTGTATTTTGCTATTTTTTCGTCCAATGCCTTTTTGATGCTCTGTCGACGCTGTATTCGAGCTTCGCCCTAAAACAAACTTTTTGCGTTACTTCAAGGTGATAATTTCAGAATCAATATATAAATGCATAAATATCAATAGGGATTTGAAATTCATAAAATTTTCTAAAAACATTTTATTAACAACAATTCGTAGACTTAAACCTTTTCGATTGTCGCTAGAATTCTTTCATGATCGGATAATTCGTCGAGACGTTCCCAAAACAATTTTGCATATTCTTCAACCTTAAAGGAAACCGGAAATGAAATTTTCTGACTTTAAAGATGTTTCTTATTCGTGCAAATTAAAATAAAGACGGAAAATCTGGTGATTAAAATTCAAAACTAAACGAGCTTCGTTCACCTTTATTGAATATTTTAACTAACAAAAAACCTCAGTTGCAGATTTCGTGTCAATTTCCTTCGCTATGTTCTCCAAATCATGCCTTCCATATTTCTCATTCGCTTTGATAAATTGTTGAAATTCTCGACGACTCCAATTACTCTGCCCCTAGAAATGTCCAATGCTAACGAAAAATTTATCGTCAACTCGCTTTTTTTCATAACTAAATATTTTCAAATTACTTGTGTCAGCAGTTGGATCTTTTCGTTTTGCTCTTCTTCAGTCAGTGGCACAGCGCTGTCAATCTTTTTTTGCTCTTCTTTTTGCTTCCTTTCCGCTTCTTTAGTTGGGAGATCCGGTGGTCTTTGTGCCTGAAAAGCAAAACTCTCGCTCTCCAACGATATCAGAAAATCGTTTTCATAAAAGCTTCTCTCATGTAGGGAGAAATTTGTGGATATATATATATATATATATATCGAAAAGTTGAAATCATACCAAAAAGTATTAATATGTTGTTAAAGAGGGCCTTAAAGTTTGGTTGTCATAAAGTCAGATAAATGATACAAAGCTTCCGATAAGCAGTCAAGATCTTGACTCTTTTTCAGTATATCAGTAGATTTTTGCAGCTTTACTGATAACACAGAATAATAATTTAAAACCAGAGTCTTAGTTATTCTAATGACTACTCTCCAACATTTCTCTAACTTTAAAGTCTACAACTAGGTGAAAACTGAAAGACTTTTGAGCTGTTTTTGCTATTTTAACAATTTCTCAAACCTGAAAGCAAGAACACATGCAGTATCGAAAAAAAAACTAGTATTGAATATTACAACAATTTCTTAAAACATACTCTATATCCAATTGTTTTCCGATGAAGATAAACTTCCTTTTCCAACAATTCGAACAATCGTTTTGGATAGAACTGGAAATCTTGAACATTAGGCTGCTTTGGTGGTCTTGGCGCTTTTGGTGCTTTAGGTTCTGCATGCCCTCCTCGCATCGCTTCTCTATAAATGATCTAATATTCAACAAAAATTTAGGATTTAAAACCAACAATCTAGTTTAAAAATGTCCTTGCGTATTTCTATCCTTGTAGTAAGTAATGAACTATGGAACTGATTTGAAATTCATTGAAGGAATCCTCCGTATCTAAAGAAAAGCTTTGAAAATTAAGACCGTGCAGGACAGTGGTCCGTGTAAAGAAATTGTTAGTGAATCAATAAGCATTGAATTCCCGTTAATAATTAAATGTAAAAGAAAAATTCGAAAAAAATAACCTAAAATAAGCATCAACTTGATAATTTGCCTTCCGTTCCCGCTTTGGTGGCTCAATCCAATAGCCAATTCCCCCAACATTTTTCTGTTTCTCACGATAATCTTCTCCTTCAAACTTATAAACCGTATAGTTGCTATCAGCATCGAAAGATGGTGCATCCAAGGCGAAATTTCGAAGCGATGTTTCTCCGAGTGAAGCGATTTTCTTATTCAGTGCCTGCATCAATATGATTTTTCAATAATCTCACCTTTTTGAAGCATTGAGATAAAAAATATTATCAATGACCAAGACTATTGGTGACTGTACCTCTGTTTTTTGTTCTGCTTTTTCTAAAATCGTATCTATATCTTCATCTGTAATTGTACTGTCTTTGGAAGCAAATACTTGATCAGCTCCATGTCTGATCATATCCAGCATATCTTCTTTGCCCAGAGCTTTTTGGGAATCCGTTAGTCGCCCCTAAAAACAATCAAAAAATAATAAATAGAAAAACAAATAAGATATCCGACCAATTCTAATTACCAATAATGGATGACCTAATAGCTTAGCACAAATCTTGAAACTAAGACTTTCGAACGCTTATGTATTTAATTGCTAGGGCTGATGTTGACAACAAATGCAAAATACAAATTCTAGTTCAAGTAAAACACAGAATGATGCAACCCCATTATAAAAATCTAAGATTAATTTCAAAACAAAAAACAGTTTGGAAATCTCAAATTCAAAACTATCCTAAAGTCTTAAAACAAAAATAATACACAAACAATAAATACGTCAAAAACTAATTAAAAAAATATAAGAATTGATATACCGCTGTTTGATTAGTGTATAAAAATCAAAAAGAATATTATAAACAACATTATTTAGTACCTGTTGTATGACGATTGAATCAAGATGAAGTTTCATTTCAGCTCGCTCAATGATTCTCTCATCCACAGTGTTATCTGTTATGAATCGAAAAACGCGAACTTGTTTTTTTTGTCCAATACGATGTGCTCGATCCTAAATTTTGAGTTCAATAAAAACGATAAAATTTTTTTTAAGAATACAGAAAATAAATTTTTTTAACAAAAAAATATAAAACCAGTCAGTAAATTTTTTTAACAAGAANAGATATAGATTAGTCAGTAAACTTGTAAAATGAGAATTATTAGTGAGATAAACGTATAGAGAGTGATTTTACAGTGTGAAGTGAGACAGTTCTTAATATGAAGGCATTGCATTAAAGATTCTTTAAGCTTGTCATAAAGGACACTAACCATAGCTTGTAAATCCACTTGTGGATTCCAGTCACTATCGTAAATGATAACAACATCCGCAGCAGTAAGATTAATCCCAAGGCCACCGGCGCGTGTTGTAAGCATAAAAATGAACTTGTCTGAATCCGGTTTGTTAAATTCATCAATAGATTTCTGACGCTCATCATGAACAGTCTGCCCATCCAAACGGCAGTAGCGATAACTACGCCACCAGCAATAATCTTCTAATAAATCCAACATTCGAGACATCGACGAAAATATCAAGACGCGAGATCCTGAAGAATCTCAAATTTCAATTTCTTGCACGGTAACTCGAAACTACTGGCAAAAAGTTAATTAGAGCTTATACAACCAGAACTAATTCACACCATATTTTAATTCGAAATGTCATAAAATAAACAAAGTTTGTTTTAACCTTGTGCTTTCAGTTTCGCTAGCAACTTATCCAAAAGAACCATTTTCCCCGAATTATCAACAAGATGCTGATCTGTAGTATACGGTGGCCCCGGTTCAGCTCCATCGAATAAATATGGATGATTACAACATTTTCGCAAGTGCATCAATATATTCATTATTCGTGCCTAAAAAAAATGTACTCTTTTTTAAAAAACAATATACAGTGTCATTGATCCTTTTCATACTTTTGGACTTCTATTCCGCATCAAACAAGAATATATTTTTAAATAATTGTGAATATTATATTTCAGTGAAGATTTACCAATTGTATGACGCTTTTCAAGTTCTTCTTAATTTAGATTAATTTTAAATCCACATTCCGAAACAAAAAACCGCACTTGAATTAATTCATACTAACCTTTTCCAGTTTGCCGGCACCGTTAACGACATCGATATCTTTCATTAAGATCTTTGTATACCTATAAATAAAAAATTCGAAAATAAAACCTATGAATTTCTTGCACTCAAGAAATTCATGGGTTTTATTTTTTCAGTAATATTCAACCATTACATAAAATAATATTCATAGTCATTTCTTTCAACATCTCTTTCAACAAAATTTCGACTCTATATAATTGCACAGATATAGTAAAGATGAACGACTATATAATCGCATTCTCTACGTCATTAGTGGCTTATAACGACTTTACTGAGGAAATCAAACGAGATTACCATTCTCTCTGCATCTTTGACAAACCCACATAGATCTTAACCTCTTTTTTTGGAAGAAGAGTTTTTTCGACATCCGACTTCAAACGTCGTAACAAAAATGGTTTCAAAACCTGAATAAAAAAATGCCTCATATGCTCTTTCTCAAAAAAAAAATCAAGAACTTCAATTTCACTGCAAAGAACAAAATTATTAGAAATATGTCGACACAAATATGTCAGTATAAGAATGAAAGACGGGACTACCTTATGCAAACGTGCAACAAGATCCTGGTTGCCCATCATATCATTCGTTGTAAACCAAGAATCGAAATCAGATGCAAGTGCGAACATATCAGGTAACAGGAAATTAAGTAATGCCCATAACTCATGCAAATTGTTTTGCAAAGGAGTTCCCGTGATTAGCAAACGATGTTTTGACTTGAATTCGCGGACAATCTCTGATAACTAAAACATGTAATTCTGAAAGCGCAACTGTCCCCAGAATCTATATCAAGACCTCTTATTATCTTATGAAAATAACAACAGTGCTTAAAGTTGATACAAAGAATAAATGAATTATCCTGGATAGTAGAAATACATAGGGCATGTAAAATGAAAACAAAATTTTTGACCGATGAAAGACACTAAAATGGGCTTGACATGACATTACCTTCGAATGTTCGTTTTTTATACGATGTGCTTCGTCAATAACAAGATACTGCCATGCATATTTTCTCAATAATGATTTCTCCTTTAAAACCATTTCATACGATGTTACCAAAACATCCCATTTTCCAGGTAAAATTTCATTACGTATTAAATCCGCCTAAAAAACAATTGAAAAATCTACAATATGAAACAATTCAATCGGATGAAAGCAACAAATTAATTAAATAATGTTGAAGAGACAAGTTAAGCAAATGAACAATAAAAGGTAATTAATGAAATACTAAAAAATAAAGACTTACTCGTGCTTCAGCGATACCAATAAGTGCAACGGCTTTAAGTGAAGGACACCATTTTCCAAATTCATTGATCCAGTTTTGTAGCGTTGATTTAGGAGCGATGACTAAATGTGGTCCAGAGGCATTTTTGTAATGCTTCATGAAGCCTATCACCGCAACCGTTTGCAATGTCTTACCCAAACCCTGGAATATACTTACAGAAGGTTTATGAGTCTTGACATTGAAAATTGGTTAAAATATGTAAGAGAGAGAAAGAAAGTTTAGAGAGTCTTTACAACTTTTAATTTAAAAATTAAATTCAGAATATACCATTTCGTCAGCAAGGATCCCATTAATACCATTATGTTGCAACGAAATAAGCCAATTAAGTCCTCGTATTTGATAGTCGCGCATTTCACCATTTTCAATATAAAACGGCGTTTTTTCAAATCTACAAGCAGTAACAATTAGTAAGCAAAAGAATATAAATGTTAGTATATAATAAACAAAAGGAACAAGCCAATGAATGCGACTTTTGCACTAAAATAATTAAAAGAAAATCCATACTAACCGAATCAGTGTTTCGCTCTTTTTCACCTGATTTATCAATTCCTCATCTTCTTCTTTCTCTGTTTTACGATGGCGATGATCACCTTCAGATTGATTTCGAGGACGTCCTTTCGCTCCCACTTCAATATTCATAATTGACATTAATAAAAATATAATCCTTGCATTTTCATGAGTATTGGGGAAAAATAAAAGAATAAAAGAAAACCAGTCCAAATTCTGAAAATCCACTCATTTCCAGCAGCTCTTATTAAAAGTACCTCCAAATAAAATGCAAAATTGATTTACCTTATTTATATGATACAGTATTATCTGCACTAAGAAAAAAAAGAAATATATGACATTGCATTATAACTAAATTGCATCATAATCAAATTTTACCATCAACACTTTCAACATCTCCCGCACTTAAACAATGCGAAAAATTCTCTGTTTTCTTTAGCAGCATTTTGAAACGTTTGAAAGAATCCTTCTCGAATTGCGATCCTACATTGAAGTTATTACCTGAATATCAAAGTCAATACAATTTTATCCAATCAAATATTTCCTGTCTAAATAAAACAAAACTAAAAGCAGTGAGAACTACATCTTCCATATCAATTTTTTACGAGTGAAATTCTAATTAAGCTACAATACTGTGAATACTATCTATGCATATACAGTTACTTGAACAAATATTATCTAACAAATATTATACTTTGCATTTTCATTTCCGTAGAAAATGAAATCAAAATTTTCATTAAAACATTATACTGCTATGAGAGTACTCATAATCTCACTCATTACTTAGTAGAATCGCAAGTGATCGTATGTATATAGTATTAGACATTATTAAACACTTAATCAGAAGTCCATTTATATATCCAAAGTGACAAGCAAAAAGACCTACTTGAAGTAGATGTTTCACCAATGCCTTCCTCATTCTCGTTAGTTTCCATAGGCTCTACATCAGGATGAATCTTCATTTCCACACTTTCTTTTTCAACCATTTCAGGTTCATCCTTCACCGAAAACAGCTCTGTCTCCATCAGACCTTCCGCTGATTCCGATGATGGTGTCTCGCTGATGTCATTACCATCCATCTTATTTTGCTAGATATAATTTCATATCAATTTACAATGAAGATAACGATATGCTAAATATCAAATATACGCCACCACGCTAAAATACACCTGCCACAAACTTCCACTTCCCAACGCATCCCGTAATCATCCAAGTTCTCAATGGAGCAAAGTGATATAGTGCAACGTCACGGTCGATCACCACTTGTGTTGCCCTGAAGAAGATGTAACGAAAATTGTTGTCTCTATGTTTATAATTCTACAGATTGCAAAATTCTCGATACCGACGTCCGGGAATTGGTTGTTTGTAATTACCGTGATATTTAAAGGTTGATAGAGAAGTGAGTGGGAGGCAATGCTAGAAATTGGATAAAATCATGGATACTAAAAGTTCTTACAAATTTGATATTCCTGCTATCTTGAAATGACAAATGAAACTCACCATAGTATCTATTTCAGCTGCTAACTTCAAATCATTTAATTTTATTACAATCGAGCTATTTGAAGAGGAATTCAGTTGTCGGTAAAGAGATTTATTGCTTCAGGGTTGGAGGTCGAGCTAGCGCTACAAAAGTTTAAAAGTCAAGTTATCGTTGTAGAGATTAAACTGTCAGTATAATTATGAAGCAGTCATTGAAAATAAATTAATAAAAATAGGATTGAATTATGGAATTAGATATAATGGATTCCGGAATGATTTGATAATTGCTCTCGATTTGCTGATTGCTTTGATATACTTCATCCATGCAAACTATTCTGTGACTGCAGTGATGAAAAATCGATTACGCGATATGCTAATTGGAGAAAGTGCTGGAAGGAAAGATATCATTAAGGACATATATTTTGATGATGACGTACCGGTATTTGTCGCCGCACCAATGGTACGATACTCAAAGTAAGCTCTTTTCTCTTTATAGGCACTTGTGGATTTACTTCTTTCCAGCTGGGCCATTATGGATTTTATTGCTTGCCTTTCGAACAGTAATCACTGTTTTTCATATTTGATTACATTATTCCATTCTTTGAATATTGCAAAACTTTCCTTCCTTTGATGAATACATTAGGTAGTAAATGATATCTTAAACACAGCAAAAATTGAAATATGTAAGGCAGATGTTGAAGACGACAAAATTTCTACATTTGCCGGAAGAGAATTACAAAATAGAATTACAGAATAGTTTAAAATAAGTTAAATGGTTAAAATAAAACCGAATTATTGTGAGTTAAAGAAATTGTCAAATTTTAGATGAAACAAGCATTTGATTTCTACCTATACTGAATCTTGGATATATTATAAACAAAATCAGATTAAAAAGCTAACGTAGTGCATAAGATTAGTAACTATAAATCGTCAAGTATTATTTGTTAGATAGGAATCAATTTATTTTTTTTGCAGATTGCCTTTTCGAATGTTAGTTCGACTTTATGCAGCGGATGTTGCGTTTACACCCATGATTTATGCGAAACACTTCATTGCTTCGGAACAGTGTCGATCAGCAGAATTCACTTCTTGTCCAGGTTCGTTATGACAACTGTAATGTGTAAATTGCAAAAAATACTTAAACATTGTAGAAATGTGGAAAATACTTAAACATTGAAATATTTAAAGATAAATTGTGAGCAAGTATAAAATTGTGTCAAAATAGTTCAATTTTATGCTACTCTTTACTCTTTTAATATTTTTTTGTTTCTGAGTTCAATTTGGTAGTCGAAAATTAACTCATCATGAGTTACTTTATAGGGTGTTATTTTATACAGGTGACAGTCCAACCATTGTACAGTTTGCAACCAACGAATCAGTGGAGTTTTCCACAGCAGCTATGTTTGTAAGCAGGTATCAAATTATATTCTTTAGTATCCAATGTTTGGTTTATAAAAGTGCATCTGAACAGCAGTCGGGACCTACAGACTATGACTAGGCTGGCCAAATCAAACTATAGAAAATGGGATCATAATTAATGTTTATATTCATTCAGATATTGTCGGGGTGTTGATCTGAACTGTGGTTGTCCACAGTTAGAAGTTATGAAAGAAGGATATGGTTCAAGTTTATTGGCAGATCCAACTCAAATTGCTGATATCGTTGCTACAACACGTCGGCGAATTTCAAAACCAGATTTTACTGTAACGTTAATCAGTCTTTCAAAATTTCCGTGATAACTAACTTTCATTGTTCAAATTGATATGCTAAGCTTTTAGGTTTCCATCAAAATTCGACTAAAATCGAATCGCCAGTTAACTTTAGAAACGTGTCGTCAAGCAGAAAGAGCTGGTGTTTCATTTATAACAGTGCATGGACGGACACCTGAACAGCGATCAGAACCTGCAGACTATGATATGATCAAATTGATCAAATCAAGCATATCTGTTCCTGTAATTGCTAATGGAAATATTAAAAACTATGAACAAGCAATTCAAGTCGCGAAATATACGGGAGTTGATGGTTAGTTTTTATAATTATTTCCATAAAGATCATCATTTCTTCAATCTTCAATCGTTGTTCTGTATCATCACAAACCTGTGTACGGGGTTGTAAAATCCAAAATATTAGAATAATTCAAATAAGCTTCAAAATTTTGCTTCTTTAGTTAATGAAGCTCACTTTTATAGATGTGAATAATTTTAATCTTTTCAATGTCTTTTTTTGCATTCTATTGATAATTTTAAAAATACATGACGTGGAGTTCATTTAACTTCCTTTTTTATGTGAATTTCAAAAGCGAAGGAATTATTTTTCTGAAACCTATAAACTTTTTGCTTTCAACATTACTTCAAAGGAGGTTAGCACGACCAGAATTCAGTATGTCGTAATCAACATTTTATAGGTATCATGTCAGCAGATGGTTTATTAGAAAATCCAGCTATGTTTGCGGGTTATACTTCTACCCCGAAGCAATGTGTTGCGGATTGGGTACGATTTTCTTTTTTTCCTTCTACATTTTCTTCTGTTGCATTTTTTTCATATTTTGCAATTTTCAATGAGATCACTCAACATGTAAGTTTCTACTTTAGTCTCAATTTTCGTATTATCTAGTAACTAATACGTAAATTATAGAAAATATAATCGCAGATTATATTTTTTACTAATTTTCTATAATGTTGCTGGAATTATTAGTTATCCAATAGGTGCGTTTGGCAACGGAACATGGTTGTACATTTGATTTGTTTCATCGGCAGTTGATGTTCATGCTTCGATCTTCTCTCACCAGTAGGCAAAGGACGATATTCAATGGACTAAGTAATTATCCGGCTGTTTTTGACTATCTCAATTGTAATATCTTCAAAAACGACGTTTTTAGGTGATTCAACATTATTTTATTTACATTCATACTTGCTTATGTAATTTATAAATAACATAAAAGATGTCGTTTTGCATTCTCAATATCGTGTAAATAGAATTTTTTAGTTTTAATCGCAATTTTTCTTAACTTTGTGGAAAAGTTTTCAATACAGAATCTGAAGAGACTTTTCATGTATTCTTATTTTTAAAAATTTATATCTTTGTTACCTTGTAATCTCTGGAAACATTGTCGCTAATATCATAATTAACTATTATGACGTATTTGAATGGAAAAGAAAAAGTGGAGTAATGTCAAATAAGAACACAGTGTTATTTGAGAGAATATTACATTAAAATCTTTGCAATATCTGTTCATATACGAATTTCATTTTTCAATTTGCAAACTTTTGATGTATAGATCCAGCCATTTGAATATACACCGAAATTGATGTTATATTTTATTGATGAACTAGAAATGCAGAAGATTTAATAAGATATCCTCAGGCGGAGGAAGTGAAACATTCTCAAAAAATTCATGCAGTAATGATTTCAAATTTTTTATAAGCTTTGAATGCAGTTGCTAGCTGTATTTTGAGTTAGCTTTTTAAATATCAAACAGAATTTTGTATTCGAGGAACATAGTTTGCCCAAGCCTTTATGGGAAATTTGATGCATTAGGGACTGCAATTTAGATTATAAATATTTGGGAAAGGCTATATTTAGGAATTATAAAGTTTAGGATTAGTTCCTACATTTCTTTCGCTGTTTTTGGATGATTTCTATTTTTTTTATAAGGTGGACTGGTTTATCAATATATTTAATATAGTTTCATTTCAGGCTACGAATTTTGCTAAATTTTGAAATATTGAAAAGCTTTATTCCATATTGTATTTAAGTAATCAATGATATTCGAAAAGTTCAAGGTCCCGGGAAGTTCTGTTTTAGTCACTTATACTCATCAAAATAGCTAACAAAATATTCAGCAATAATAATTTGCAAAAAGTGTTAAAATAAAATAAAAGGACACGGACAAAGGCTTAGTTATTAACAACTTTATTAGTTTTAAATTAACCTATCCGATACGAATTTCAGTTATCACGAATAAAAGAATTCCTTATTTACTAAGTGAAAAGGAAAAAAAGAAGAGTTAGTAGTCAAAAAGCTTATGATACAAATTATAGAATTGTAATAGCAAAAAAAAAAAAAACAAGTCTGTTGAAACTTTACATTTCTTTATTGAGAAAAAATTTCGATATTTTATAACTTTCGATTTTCTTATTAAAAAACATTTTCAAAATATTGCAAATATTTCTTGTAAGATCTATCACCAACCAATTAGGATTTGTTATCAACAAATAGTAGATCAGAATTATCCTGATGCTTTCAATATTCTCAGGTAACAGAGAATTTAATTATCACTTGTCATACAAGTGTATTGAGACATGTACAATGAAGTGAGAGGAATCTGCAAGATCAGCAAATATTTCATTCAAAACAGTCGTAGCATGATAATCAGCAAATTATCGATTATTCAAATTATTTAGCATATCTTTTTTTTTTAGATTATTCAAATCATTTAGCATATCACATCTTCAACCTTTCACTTTGGCTACCAATTTTTGCAAATTAAGGTATTCGAAATTAATTTTTCGTTTGTCTCGCTCATCATCTCTCAATTTTATTTTCAAAATATTACATGAAAAAATGGAAAGTTCTTTGTAACATTTTTTTTTTCGTTTATCATATACATTTGAATTTCACTGGCACCAATATCCTGATTGATTCTTTTTACAATCGAAAAGAGAATATGTTCTGATATTATTATCACTCTAATATATTATGATGTCATGACACTTTTTGATTATTTAATTTAATTATTACGCGATAATAATAGTAATAATAATCGTAATGTTCCTGTAGGCCTACCATTAAATTTATCACTTAGTTAAATTATCAACAGTTTGTTTGCTTAATTTTACTCATGAAACTTTTAAATGATCACCTGATTAAGTGATTAATTTAATTTCTGTTACAAAAATAACATTGAAACAAACAAATCAGTCAAGCTACTTTATTCAAGTGATTCATTCTTGCAACATAACTTTAATTTTATATATTGTTTGTTTTAGCAGATAAATTTTATTTCTAACTTACTTTTTTATACTTTTTATTTTGTAATTGAGAATTAGACTGATTGATTTAAAACGGATTCCAATAGTTCCCGAGAATTTTACTTGCTATTACTTAATAGATTTTCGAATTTATTTTATATACATTTGATACGATTTATCATGCATGGAACGAATTCGAAAAAATCCATCTCTGTCAATAGTTAATCAATTTCATGCATTAATTATTTCCAAAAATTAATTCTCAATTTTTAAAAGTTTTGTTCTTAGCGTACCGATACTATTCGAAAGCTTAATACCTTTAAACTTATCAAATTTGAAATTTCTCAAAATTTCATCATTTAGATTGACCATCCCCATTTATAATATAAATTGTTTCGCAATGAATCATTCTATCACTAATTAATTTCCAGATTAATTAGCAGCTAATGATGGACGAAAATGCAATTTTTACAAAAGTTCTATCGCAAAAAGTTGTCACCAAAACTTTAATTGAAATTTATTGGTGCAAATAACACGCATAAACACAAACAAATTATATATATGTATTAATTAACCTTACATACATGCAAATATACAAGACAAGAAGTATTGGGAAGAAATTTTAGAATAACAATCAATGCAAACGTTGTGATCAATTTTTAAACAGTAAGTAAAAATTCCTGAATTTATAGATGAAGAATATTGAAAGAAATCACATCCTGCTTGAAGTTTTTTAAGGATTTAAAAAAAAAAAGCAGGTGAAATGCTTTTGAAAAAGAAATTTATTTCTTTTGAAATTTCTATCAGACGAAAAGTTTTCCATCTTTTTTTTTTGTCCTTCCGTCATCGTAATTCATTTCAATAGTGCGTTAATTGAATGAAAAATTTTTGCTTTCAAATTAATTAACTATCAAAATCCATCGGCCTATTTCATCATTTCAAATTTTCTGCTTCTCACAATTTCATTTTTTCCAACTTTCAGATATTTCATTGTGATCAGAAAGAACAAAGCAACTGAAGAGTTTGTGGTGAAATGATTGAACGGAAATATTACGAGGACGAATGATACCCCGAACATAGAACGTCTAATAGCAGAAATGATTGTCAAATAAAATATCAGTTTTGAGAAAAATTAAACAAGTCAATAAATTTAATAAATTCTATTCATCACTCCAATTAATCAAAAAAATATCATCTAATATTTATTATAATTGTTTAGTATTAAAAATAAAATTATTGAAATTCAATCAAGTCAAAAATAGTAGATTTCCCCATGTAAATTTCTATCATGTCCTATCCAACATCGTATTACTCATCAAACTATTAGCATCAGCAGAAGTCATCTCCATCACACATCATCATCATCATCATCCTACCAACATAATCATTATCGCCTATATCAGTGTCATTTCATCAACACAATCATTAGCATTGTCATCATCATCATTATCATCGTATCAACATGATCATTATTACTTACATCAGTATCACTTCATCAATATAATCACCATTATAACTGCTCATCATTGTCATGCATTAAGGTTAAAAGGTTATGAAAATTCACATATTTATGTTCCTTTTTTATTTATGAAATTATTTGTGATATTAACTTTGCATAAATACGTAAATTTGAACTGCATAGAAAGTAGTCCTTCGAAAGTTTCATTTTTTTCAAACATAGACATTTATTGTTTTCGAAAATTTCAATTATATTCCAAATGGTTTCATTATTATTTATCATGAAAATTTTTGGAATGAATCATTTTTGAAGGAATTGAAGTGATCTTTTTTAAGCTTTTGTTACGCAAACCGCATTTGATGTTTCGTTTTTTATTTTATCAATGCGGATAAATATCAACAAAATTTCATTTACATATTAAATTAATTTCTTAAATGATAAATAGCAGAACATAAATAATAAAATTTTCTAAATGATTAAAACTTAAATGATAAATGATAATATTATCATTTACCATTTAAGTTTTGTTGGTGTTTTTTTTTTCAACATTTTATTTCCATTTTATATCTTCCATTTCTTCTCCGTTTGTGATACTTTTTTCACGGGAGAGAACAGATGAGAAAGTGAATGGAAAAGTCATAAACAAAAGATTGGTGCTGTAATTTGAATTTTTTTAATTTCTCAAATTATCATAACCACTCTTCTTAAAAAGAAAATTTTAATACATTTATTTGATATTTTAGAATATTTTTGATAAATTTTTGCATAGTACAAGTTATTTAAAATCTTTCATTTTCCAGTAAAAATCCATCCAAATTTTTTTACTCATTCATATTTCCTGATTGAAATTCATGACTTATGAAATTCCTTTCAGTAGATCTGCGAAATTTCACTTTTTCATTCATATTTTCTGGTGAAAATTCATGACTTGCAAAATTTCTATTTTTCGATAAAAATTATGATTTGCAAAATTACTTTCAATTTTAATTCTTCAAATGGTTAACAAAACGTTTCTGTAATTCTTCAGAAGGTTAAATTACACAGTCTGTTTCACCTTCTTGAGATAATGTTCAATGAAAATGTTTAAGGTAGAAGTGATAATGATTGGAATATTTCAAACAATTTAAAAGTAATAAAAGCATGGGAAAAATCTAAAGTGACAAGTCTCTTTAGAATAGATAATTTATTGCCCATTTTAATTGAAATTATTGTTTTCCCTTTTTTTGACCAAAGTATGGATAATTGTGCAAATTTTTATTTGTTAAAAAAGGTAGGCAATTAGTTTTCAAACATTTTGTCACTTAAATTTTCGTCAGTTTTAAACTGATTGCATAAAAAGATACGTTACATTTTTAATTTTAAGTTAGCCAAACCCATATAGTAGGTAGGCATTAACAGCTTATCACTTTGTCATTCTAATTTTTTATCAATTATCACTTTGTCATTCTAATTTTTTTATATATTAGTGCAGTGAAATAATTTCTCAAATTCTTCATATACATAACATCATTTACTTCCGTTCAAAATTTCATATTCATTAATCAAAAAAAAATTTTTTTTACAAAAATTAATCAAAAAAAATCAAATCAATATATCGATAACATCAATTAGTTCAATTCAAATCTGATGATTTCCATATTAATCAAAAAAATTTTTTCTTACTTTTTCAATACGGTATCCCGCATTATTCAAAATGGAAATAAAGAGAATAGCAAGGATTAGCATTTTAATTCAACCTAATTCTGGAAATCTTTGTGATTTGCTTACTTGGGACACTGTAATCGGTGATACAATAGCTTGTATGAATTATGAATGGATGTGTGATATACAGTAAACAAGTTACGGTGAACAAGTCACAGTAAACAAGTGTAGTAAACGAGTTACAGTATACAAGTGTCACCGTATTTCTAATAGATCGCTCATTTTTGTGAACTATGATTAGGTAAAAGTATCGCTCACGTGTTAATGATACATTCTATACTAAATAGCTATAATTTAGGACGCATGTAAAATGATATATTTACGGAGAAGAGAGTAATATCATAAATAGTAAAAGGAAACATTTGATGTATACATGACGTATAGCAAATTTGAAAAAATATTAGCCTTAAGAAATATGGACAATTTGAATACTGAAAATATATGCAAAAATAATTTGAATATTTCTCTCATAAAATCTAATCCGAATTTTTAATAATAATTGTTATAGAAAATGAAATCAATCCAAAATAATACTCAATTAATCAAAAAATCGTACTATTCAGCGGAATTTATTTGATCAAATTCGTGAAAATAATTTGAGAAATATGCAAAAAATTTCCGGAACATTTAAATTAATAACCGAATATGTTGTACTGAATAATCAATACATCCTTTCTCTGATATATCAAAAGATAAAGAGAGATTGATCAAAGCGACAAAGTACGTGATATTCACCCGCACATCACGTCACATTCATTTATATTCATGAGAAAGGACTTTTTGTGAGAAAGATAAAAAAATGTTTGTGATTAACAGATCAAATCAGTAAATAGCCATGTTAATGTCACCAATTGTGTTTGCAATTTTTGAGTCAGATTGTCAAATTTGAGTAAAGTCAAAAAAAAAAAAATGGAAAAGTTGAAGCAATATTTTTAATATATCAATTTGACCATGTAATATTTATGAAATAAACCAATTTTTTAATATAACTGAGTAAAAATTAAATAAATTAAATGAAGTTTTTCTTTTCTAATTTACCCGGATACAGAAGGTATTCTGTTTGCATTGCACATGGCAATGATGACCATCGAAGTTCGAATAATCCAAAATTACATCTGAAATAATTTCCATCGATCTGATAGTAATCTGTCAACAATTCTCAGTTAAACTTACTTCTGTAAGTTTTTGTTTGTTTATTTGTTGTTTTTATTGATATGACATTTATGTTTGATTATAAATAATTGAAGGAAATGGTTCTGTTCTATACTACACTGATCAATGACCGTTACCACGGGGGATGGATTATAGGTATTGACCTTTGACCAGTATTTTCAAATGTTAAGAATGGGATGGGAAAAAGGAAGAAGGAGGGAGAGGGTGAGAGGGAGCGGGAATGAAATAATTTTAGGAATTGAAGAAAGAAAGAAAAAAGATAGAGGAGGGAAGAAATTGGGGGAGGAAGGGGGAGAGAATCTGTTTTGCCTTGAAATGAGCTATCATCCCTTCAGGAGAAGCCTGAAGACCACTCCGTGTGTTGATTACGAGGAAGTTTGTGACAGAGCTTTTCACGCACAGTTTTTGGATCGATGAGGACGGATTGTTGGTGCATCCGGAAATAGACCCTCGTAGGTTGAGACGATGATGGTGATGATGGGTGGGTGGTGATGGTGTAGTGGAGGTGCCTTAGTAGGCTGATAAAAAGGAAAAAGAGGAGAGGAGAAGGGGTTTCCTACTGGTTTCCCAACTGGCTCTAACGTATGTATATATTCATTCCTGGGCTGTTTGGTCCAATAATAACAAAACGATCAGATAGGATGAATGGGAATGAAAGAGGTACGGGGGAGGAGGAGGGAGGAAGAGATGAAGGAGGTTGTGGGAAGAGATATTCTCCCGTTTTCCCATCTCCCTATCCTACTTTTCAGGTCCAAAAGATGATTTACCAAACGGGGATTGTATGATGAAAGAGAAGATAGAAGAGGAAGGAAGAAGGAGGAAGAAGGAGGAGGAAGAGGAGGAAGAGGAGGAGCAGGAGGAGCAGGAGGAGCAGGAGGAGGAGGAGGAGGAGGAGGAGGGAGGTGATGGGAAAGTGTTCAGAGAATGATGATGAAAGTAACAGGGGACATCAGGTGGCGTAAACGTGATATAAAAGGGGAAGGAGAAAAGGAGAGATAGATAGCACGGGGGCGAAAGGAGAAAGTCCGGCTAATAGTAATACGGGGGAAGCGCGGGGGATGGAAATGTGGGGTTTACAAACATTTGTTGGAGGGGTTCTCTTTTCGTCTACCATTCTGACGGAGTGTTGCAGTAAAATGGCTCGCGGGGTTTGTCCCCCTCGTCCGTCACCCCCTCTTTCCCCTGTCTACCCAACCCCTCTCGATTGTTCAGTGAGAGAGCGCATTTCTATGTATCTGAGTATGTGTGTAGACGGAGTGTGTGTGTGTGTGTGTGTATGTGGGTGTGTGTGTGTATGTGGGTGTGTGTGTGTGTGTGTGTGTGTGGATGGAGGAGTGTGTGTGTGTGTGTTGCTTTGCCACCCCGTTCTGTCCGATATTCAAAAGGGTGGTGTATGGATGGGTGCAAGGGAGGGTGTTAGTGATGGCTGGTTGCTTTAACCTCCTCCTCCTTCCCCCGCCTACGTATATGTGTTGTTTTGAAATTGCATACTACCACCTCTCCCTCCCCCTTCCCCCCTCTTTTCGTTCAGTCTTGAGTTGTCGTAAATTGCTAACACCTCCGAAGGTTTTCAAATATCCTAATCCTTAGGGGGGTAATAATGCTAACATTAGCGGATCATATATGTTATAGGCTGTTTGTATTAGGTTAATTAGAGTTAGGATTTACTTGTATAGCTAAGTCTAATTATGTAAAAGTTTGTCATGTAATATCGATGCTATCATTTTGGATATGATCACTATACCATGCAAATTAACTCTTTGAATTTATTGCTAACTTAATTGATCATTTAGATTGAAATATTAAAGTAATTATTTATCTGTGAAGAAAATTTTTGCAAATTTAGTAAAGCATAATTTTTTCTTTTCTTTTTTTTTTGAGTATCAAATACAACGAAGAAATAAATGATAGTCTGAAATATCGGTTGAAGGAATTAAAACAGAAAATATGAAGCGTTCAAGAAAGGACTGATACATTAATTTTGTTATTCCTAAATTACATTTTAGGAATTAATAGAGTAGTATAGCAATTGAAAGTTACTCAGCTGAATGTGGTAAATGATTAAATAAGTACTAGTAAAAGCAATGATTAAGGTAAGTAATCCTGAAAGTAATAAATGTTATTGTATGAAATTATCATTTTGCTATTGTGGAAAGCAAACCTCTCGAAAGGAAAGAAGCAAGAAGCATCGAGTTTCGCCTATTTAACCGCATGATAAGACACCCCGTCTTCCTTTTTTCTCTCTCCCCCTCTCTCTCTCTCTCTCTTTCTTTTTTTAATTTACTACTTTACTGCTCTATTCATTGAGTAGTGAAGTTAAGATAGGAATGAATGATTAGATTGATTTATTGCTATATTGTTTGTTTATTATTTAATAAAAAATTTTTGATATCAGAAGTAATGTCTTTTTTTTTTTAAAATACGTTTAATAAAAAATTTTTGATATCAGAAGTAATATCTTTAAATACGTTTACGTCATTTTATTCAACTTAAAATGGATAAGTGACGTAAACACGTTTAAAATTTTTTTTTTTTGAGTTTAACTGGACATAATCGATGAATTCATTTTTCGATTTAACTGACGATTTAGTTTACTTGTGGAACATTTAATTTGATTAGGTATAAATGAAAAAACATATTTCGATAATTTGTGCTATGTCAAATATAATTTAATTGTTGATTTGTAATTTTTGGTCTGATTTTCTATTTCAATTAAAAACATCAATACTATAATTTCACTATTCCATATTGTGAATCAATTTCCTTACAAGATAAAATAAGATGAATTTTTCTTAAATTTCATTTTATTTCATTTCATTTCATTTCAAATATACACCTTTAAGGATGATACTTTCCTTTCCTCTCAAAATGACAAATACTAGAGCAAACAAATACGCCAACAACTAGAAGAGAATGTATTCAAAATTGTTCGTTTTCATTTCTTTTTTTTTCTCTCCCTCTTCAATTCTGATACATTTAACTTTTACAAGTTTTACAAAAGTGTACTGCTTAAGAATTTTACCTTCTAAAAACATTCTCTCATCTATCACAAAATTAAAATTATCCAAGAAATATATTTGAGATGAAAATAAAGTAATAGTAGTAACAGGTCAAATCTAATCATTGATCAATTATTGATTATAAGAAATTTAAATTATTGAACTAAGCCGTAAAATATTTCATTGGTTATCACTATCTTATCCTATCTCTTTTACTTTCATTTCTCTTCTGGTATATCTCTTTAAGCTTTTCCTCCACATAATATTTGGTAATAAGGGATGCTAATTTGATAACAGTATTATTTTTATCTGTTTAATGATAGAAAAGCCCCGGTCAAATTTCATTACATATCTTGATAATATTACTCATATATATGTGTAAAGTGAAATTTATGTAAATGAGATATTTGGAATTAATTTAATTATTTCAATTTGATTCTATCATAAAATATTTTAATAATATTCTCATTAATCTATTATAACGGGCAGTATTAATCGACAAAATTTTTTACCAACTATTCAACGCTTCGAGAATATTGTTTACAAATTATTGATAAGATTGCCAATAATGCAATTTGAAAAAATTTATGTAAAAATTTAACTATATTTGTTAAAAAGAGCTGAAAAGCGGAAGTAATTTGAATAAATTTTGTTAATTTAAAATGCAAAATTATCGTCCTCGAATCGATGATGATGATAATGAAAAAATATATAATTCTTTTTAATATAAATTATACATTACTCGTTACCGCTAAAACTGAATTATAATTGATTGGTAAACAAGAGCGAAAAAAAAAAAACATTGGGCGCTATTTTACCGATATGTGTTTTTGAATATCATTTTCCGTTTCATCAAGAAATATTGTGGTAGATCTCGGGAGATTTTAATAGAAGACTATTCAGGAATAACTGGAAGAATATTTTTAAAGGATCAAACATAGTCGTTACGTGTATGTGCGCTTGTATGTGTGTATATGTGTGTGTGTATGTGTGTATGTATATATATGTATGTGTATGTGTGTATATTATAATTATGCACTTTTCAAAAATGATTATTTTTTTGTGATGGGAGAAATATTTGGAAGGGGTCAGTTCCTCCCCCGTCCCCAATAAATTTTCTCTCATTTACTTTCAGTAATTGAATGAATGAAATTGCAATGAATAATCATTCATTCCTTTTTTTTTTAAATTAAAAGCAAAAAAAAAGGAATGATATTTACATATTTCTGCATTATATTGCTAAGACAATATCAACAAAAGAATTACGTCGGTAATTTATTATTTTATTGCTTTCAACAGTTTTTAGCTTAAGTTGAATTTTAGCTCATTTAAACTTTTTTAAACTTTTGCTTAATTACTTAAATTATTTACTTAAATCAGCAACGTTGAGAGAAAATGAGGGGAAAAATTTAAAGGAAAGGCTCTCCAACACCTTTCATTTGCATAATATTTTGATTTTTTTTTTTGTTATTGTTTATCAATTTATTGACATATTTTGTGATCTATGAATTTATCATTTCTTAAAATGATTTAATTTCACTCATTTATGTAATTCTTTTTTTTTTCTCGGCTTAACTTGAATTGATTCCCTCATTCGTGGATGGCTTCATTTCTCTTTGCATGTTGATAATAAGTGGTGAGTGTAAATGTAACTAAAGTTAAGCTAAAAACTAAAAAGGAAATCAAGAAATTTTTAAAAATCTCGAAGATAGTGTGACACATAATCGATTGTCATTATAAGTTTGCTATTCGACATTTTAACTTTTTTTGAGCTATTTATTATTTATCATTTTCAATGAGTTATTATCAACTTTAGCTTTTTACATTGAAAAAAGTAAACCTGTGTGTATATGTAAATTATTGAATTGATTTTGAAATAATATCAAATTTTTGGAATGATTATTGTAAATTTGGTGAGTATTACTTTTCTTTTTCTCAAAGCTTCATCATCTTAATCTTAATTCTTTTCCCACTGAAAAGGTTAAGGTTCAAATCATTCGCAATAGCAAATCAGACTGAATTTTTCCCGTTAATAGAGGTCAATCTGTATATCTGTTGCAATTACTTTAAGATACTATTTTAAGCGATTCGTACAATAACAATTAAAATTATTCTCAAAAGAGATTTCAAGAGCTATTACTATCTATATAACAGCTGATGTTCCGCTATTATAGCAATGTCAGAGGTCAGGTTTTTTTTTTCTTGGATGAATTCTTTCTTCTCAAAGCTATTAATTACTATGTAGTAATGCTTATTTTCATACCAAAAGCTTGTTTAATTTTGAACTCAATAAAATAGTGCGAAACTGAAATTTTCTATAGGATTTGATGAAATATTTCTGTATTATCATCAAATCAGTCTCTACATATTATATCAGATGCTAATAGCAAGCTTTACACATCACGCCAAATGCTAATAGTAAGTCACGTCACGTCACATCATATTAGATAGGAAATTGAAGAATACGAAGATAATGTTGCTGAAAACTGTTGGATAATCCTCGAAATCTCTTAGAGTGATTTTTCCCCATTTTCCTTATAGGAGGAGCAAAAAGCGGTACTTAAGGTCATTTAACTCTTTCCCAATCCTCACCTCACCATAAATCATTACATACGTAAATTACGAGTTCTGAGGTTAATGTTCCATTCCGTTAATTAATCCATCAATGATTTAGGCGAAGTATATTCGGCTGTTAAAAAACTTTCACATTTATTGAAATATATAATTTTATATTAAGATTGTATGATTAAATAAAAAAAATTCACGTGACTAATTATTGTAATTCTATCAGATAACACTTTTTTTTTAAAAAAAAAATAGTCTACTTATTTACTACATGCGACGTATTTAAAATCTGTTTTTTTTCCATTCTAATTTTTTTTTTTTTGTTTTTAATAATGAAAAATTTCAGAAATAAATTATGTTGGAGGATCGTAACGAAAGTTTTCCCACCAATTTGAACGTTATTTTTCGTCCGGAAGATTGCATGAATTCAGAGAAGAATAATAGCGATCATAGTATTGACAGTTCTGTAACGAATTGCAAGAATAGTTTATCATCGACAAAAATTTCCAGTCTTTCTACATCATCTCCTACAATGGTTATTGACGAGGAAAAGGAAGTGGACAATGATAGTGCGACAAATATATTAACTTTAAATAACATTGATGAATACTCAGTGGAAATGTTAGCACGATTAACATCTTCAACGATGGCCATTCTTACAAATCATCATTCTGGTAATGCTATAAAAAATGGTACAACAAAGAAACGGAAATCACAAAAATTTAAACCATCAAGTGTTTGGAAGCATTTTGTTCGTTTATCTGACGGTAACGTACGTTGCGTCCATTGCGCAAAAATTTTAAAACGAAAAGATAGTTCAACGAAGACAATGTGGGGTCATTTACGAGCGATACATTTCAAAGGACAAGATTGGACTATCCTACAACAACGAGCTCTTCGAGATCGTAATCGACCTCAAGTAAATCGAATAGATATGCAATCGCTGGATGAATTCGATCCAAGTGGAATTATTACAACTCAAAATTGGCTTGAACAACGGGTCGGTATAATATGTGATAAACGACAAGAAGGTCAAACGACCGGCGATTTGATTGGGCAATTGGACGACTCATTGACAGATTGGGTTTGAATATTTTTTGGTTTTTTTTTTCTTGAAAATTTCTTAAAAATTTATTACATTTTTAAACACAATCTTCTTTTCTTTCTTGCTGCCATTCCTTTTATTCTTTTTTTATTTTTTTGAAATATTATTTTTGAATTAAAAGAAATTTTTGATGAAGGAAAAAGTGATGCAATTTTAAGCATAATCGTTCATCGTCATCATCATTGGTTTCAAACGGCTGTACAACAACAAATTTAAAAAATATTGATCACAATCCAATCAATGATTGTACTTATAATGGTAATAGTTTAAATGCGACATTTGCACAATCATCAGAACGCAATAACACGGAAGAAGTAATGTTAATTTTCTTTTTCAACTTTTATCTTTCCTTTTTTATTTTTTTTTTAAATTAAATTTTATAGTAAAAATTTTAAAAACTTGTCAATTAAATGGCTGAAAGTATTTTTTTCGAATTGAATAACGTTTTTAAAAATTTATCAGTGCAACGAACAATGTTTTATTATTAAAATGTATGGTTGCAGAAATCACTTAACTTTTTATCATCTATACCACATACATCTGAAGTTATCAATATAACTGCTGGTTATACTGGAGGTATTGACAATCGTTGTTTAACAGTTAATGGAAAGTTAGAAGAGGTACCATTTTTTGAAATTATAAATTAAATTAATTTTAAGGTGAGGCGTGATAATTTGATGTATAAATAAATAATTTAGTGCATTAATTAATTAATTTTTAAATGAGGTATGATAATTTGATTCATTCTGATCCATTCTTTTGGCAAACAGCATAAATAATTCTTTTGATGATTTCATAAGTATTTAATAATGATGTGTTTAACTGACAGTATCATATAGATTAATCTTAAAGTTAATTTCTTACTTGTAGTAATCTTGAAGGGGATGAATTTGAAAGTATTAAAACGATTATTTTGGATAATAGGATTATTTTAAGTAGAAGAGATTAATTTAGGAGAGAAATGATTTATTGCAATTAAGTTTCAGAATGGTAATGGTTGCTACAGCAATACTAATATATCTGCAGCGGCGGTAAATGTTTCAAACTCTCTGATATCATCTGTCCAAAATCATTTAAATATTACTGATCAATCAATTACATCGATCAATCCAGCGCTCTCACACATCTTTGATTCGTATGCATTTTTAATACTATCATAATATTCAACTTGATTTTTAGAAATTACGGAAATTTCTGATCTATTAAATTTTTTAATTCCCTTCAGTTCTTTACTTATTTCGATTATCGATCTCAATTTATAGTCCATGGTATTATTAATGAACAGGTAGATTTTGGTAGTATAGATTAATTCCACTAAGTTACTGCTCTACTAAAATATTATTTAAATAACAGATTACAATGAGTTTGTAATCTGTTATTTAGCACGTAGCACGAAGGATTTGTAAACGAGCGATATAGCAAAGAGGAAGAAATTTTAGATTTTAAAATAATAGGTGAACAAAAGTAAATATTTGAATGTTGACTGTATTATTTACCTTCATTATTTTATTTCTTGATATCCTTTTTTAATTGGAATTTATCGGTTAAACAATTTATTTTTTTAATCTTTGACAGCTTTATTAATTTTTTAAGTGAACCAATAAAATAAATTTAACAATAAATTTTTTTTTCGTTAACGATCAGTGTTCGAATATTTAATTTTTTTTATTTTTTCTTTTACTTGATTTTAATTCTATTAACTTACAATAAGTTTTCAGATTTTCGATATTTGATCCCGATTCAATGATAATATTTATGCGGACAGCTACTGATTTAGATTGTACATTATCGTTTCATTGTCGTAACAATCAACCGAAGCTATCTTTTGAATCAAATCGTACAGCTGCCAGCAAATTAAAGTATTTTTTTTTTGTTCCTTTTTTTCTTTCCAAATCATTATTTTGCGATGATTAGAATTAATATCAATTCAAGAGATCAGAAATTTTTATTTATTTTTAAATTATTAAACTGATAGAATAGAATTAAATGCAAAAAAGATTTTTTTCAGTGTGATTCTTTTTATTCGTTAACAATTCCAATATACATGCATTTGTTTGATAAATTCATCCACATATATAAGTGTGAATCATTACTTTACTATTGAAATGATAACAGTGATAATGATAAAATTACAAGTAATAAATAAAGATGCGTATTTCAGAGGTATGGAAATATGCTTAACTGAAATTAACGATGAAGTGAACATTATTGTGCAAAATGATGGAATAGAACTTGGTAGAGAATCTTGGAAAAAAACAGATAAAGCACAATTCATGTGGGCAATTCGTGGAAAATGTCAAAAAATTCTGGCTCAGTAAGCTTCTTGTATTGTATATACGTTCCTTCCATTAGTCGATCTCATCAAAACTTGGCTTCCAGTACTTTATTAGTATTTTGCATTGTTTTCAATCTGTTCACTGATCACTACTACTGTTACTGCTACTATTACTACCAATTATTATGATTACGATTATTATTGTTTTTGTTGTCAACGGTAATTTTCGTAAAGTTATAAATGTTGGAATTGCTTTAAATTGTGAAATTTTCAACCATTATGTCTTTTTTTTTAACTTATTTTAAGATTTCATTTTTAGTAAATTGAATTAGGTATGGGATATTGCAATTTGAAAAGCTGATGTGATTCAAATTTTCTAGCATATTATATACAACCTTCTTCATAGGTACTTCCAGATAGATAGAAGCATTTCTGAGATAGAAATACTGAAAAGATATCATTGAAATGGTGGAAGAAAGATCGGATGAATTTGTATTTAATCAATTAAAATGAAATGCTTTTAAGAAAAAATCTTGTAAAATTCAGTAAATTTTAAGCAAATAAAGTATCATATAATAGTTTATAAGCGATACCGATAACAAAGCCAATGAAAAATTGAAAAATTGATTTTCGCTAACAAAACTTCTCTAATTCATTTTAATATTTTTGTTTTTCAAAAAACTTTCCATTTATGCATGTATTCATAAAATGTTCCTTATTATTATTTCAAAAGTGTTTTTTGAAAATTGATGTTTGAAAATTAATCCTTAGTGTTGAGAAAATTTAAATTAGGGAGGTCAATATTTCGCATCATTTACGATCACTTCTCGTGATCGTAAATGATGCGAATATTTTCCACAACAAGATTGATTTATCTTTCATTTACAACAGCTCTTCTCATAATTTTAACATATCTTCATAATTTCAAGAATGAAGATGAAATGTGTTAAGACAAATAAATCACGCATAATTTTTTTTTTAATATTTTCGAATTCTATTATATTATTAGTCAAAATTTCTAGCTCTTCTAATTAGTGAAATTTAAAATTTGGAAAATGTTATCTTTATCTTAGCCGCAAACTGAAATTTTGACAGTATTAGCATAATTAGGATTGTACAAATGTAAAAGTTATACACCATTAATGTACATTTTTAATTTTCGACATATATGAAAAGTCATCGTCCATATATTTTCTTCCTTCTGCTAATTTTCTTATAGTATAGATTTAAAAAAATTTTCTTATAGTATGTATAGATTTTAAATACTTTAACAATGCTTAACTTTAATATTTGTATAAAAAACTATGTTTTAGAGCTATGAGCTATGAAAATTCAGCAAATCAAATTTCAAAAATGCGGATAAAAATATTAAAAATCTTAGTTTCTAGCTTAAAAGAATATAATATTAAAATGGGTCGTATAGTTTGAAATATATCCGAAATTAAAATTAAAATAATTGAAATATATCCAACATTAATAAATTTATAAATGTTTTGAATGTTGCATATTTCTTTAGAAATTATTTTGTTAGAGAACAATAGTACGAGGTTTTTTTTTTAATTTTAAACTTGTATTCATATTGTAGATTATTGTTTAATATTTATTTCAAATGTAATATTTTTGTCATTGTTTATTTTAAATTATAAATTTAGCAAAATATTATGTGAATTTATCATCAAAAAAACTACGGGATTTGATGTGAATTTGTCAATTAATACGGCCTCCTACTATTTGAATAAATTTTTTTAAATAACGCTACAATTCTGATAATTAATTAAAACTTACAGTAATTACCAATAAGGATTAAGAGAGCTTTTGTTACCAATAAAAAAAAAAAAATTGTTATAATTTTTTAATCATTAATTTCCGGAATAGAAGGAAAAATAGGCTCGGAATAAAATACATATTCTTACTTTTGATTTTTAATTATGAAATTAAAATATGTTCAGCAATGAATGAATATATTTGGAGTGTATGTGGTTTTTTTTTCCTACATTTCAATGCTTCCAATTTTTTCCATTAAATATTTGTTGTAATTCTTGCTCGATTAAATGCATGTACGTATGTATCATTAAATTTTATTCATTTTAAGTAGAATATTTGAATTGTTTATGTATCCTCTCCTTATTCATATGTATATTTATGATTTTCACAAAACAGGTTTTAATTTTTCTTTTTCTTTTCATTCCTGATCTCACATGATGTACGTTCAGTTTATTTTTTTGCATTGAATAATTTTTAATTATCAATTTTTATAATCCAAGTATTTTTCAATTCATTCTTCTTTTTTTTTTTACCTTTTTATCCTTCAATAAATTGCTGTTAATTTCATTTTCCTCAATCACATTTGTCATTTTATAAAATGATAGCTAAAAGTAATAATATTTGATAAAAATGTTGAAAAATGTTTTAAATTAAAACAAGAATATGTATGAATTATATATAAATATACTGATGGATAGAAAAAATGAAGTAATAACTCATTGATAATATGCTAATCAATCACATCAATCTTTGTCAATTTTTCAAATATTCTTTTGCAATGTTCTTTTTTTTTTTCATTCTCTCAAATGGGCGATGAATTTTTGTATAATCGTTTGTAAGCAAATTTAGAAATCATTCAGCAATTCATTCAGCAAATTTGGAAATGTTTAACATTTATTTGCAAATTTTCGTTAAAAAAAACAGCTAAGTTTACTCAAATTTTGTAATTTAATGCCTATTTTCTGCTTCGTAATTGCATTACATAATTTTCATTTTAAAATCATTTAGTTTTTTTTTCGCTGACTATTTTTAATTTTTCAACTATTCATTTTTTTTCTTG